TAGAGAACTGTTGTGGGGTGCAGTCTAGGCAAGGTCGTCAGTATTTGAACTAGTGGGGGCCTCGATAGGCCTAATAGACGTTGCACAAATCAATTATATAGACAATATACAGGGAAATATTCCAGAGTATATAATACACCTTAGGTCTATATTGACCGGAAGTAGGCACGTCTTTGGTTCTTCACCTTAGGCCTATATTGACCGGAAGTGGGTACGTCTTTGGTTCTTCACCTTAGGCCTATATTGACCGGAAGTGGGCACGTCTTTGGTTCTTCACCTTAGGTCTATATTGACCGGAAGTAGGCACGTCTTTGGTTCTTCACCTTAGGTCTATATTGACCGGAAGTGGGCACGTCTTTGGTTCTTCACCTTAGGCCTATATTGACCGGAAGTGGGTACGTCTTTGGTTCTTCACCTTAGGTCTATATTGACCGGAAGTGGGTACGTCTTTGGTTCTTCACCTTAGGTCTATATTGACCGGAAGTGGGCACATCTCTGTTTCTAATTGTAGACTCTTATCCCACCACACATCTCGCAGCTAGTATCTTACATCTTCTAATCTATGGCGCAGTGACACTATTCTCTATCAAAAGTTAATTAGAATAGTAAGTGCTCTGAGTATTGCGAATTTTCTTTAATCAATATTAATTAACAGAGAATGTCGACCATCTTAGAGAGCATAAATAATCTATATTATTACCCTAAAACGAAGAAAACAACAACATTTTTCTATCCTAACTTGCGTATCCGTCAATGCCTAAAATTAAAGTTTCTAATTACCAAGTCAAACACATCATAAGTTATCAAGCGCGGATAATTTTCCTTGCTATATGTTTGTGTTATTTTTTAGGGGTAACAAAATAATTTTGAAAGTCGTTACAGCATCAAACGTATCCATCAGCCCAGCTGACCATGACTAGGACACTCTAAATTACATATATTCAAATATACGCAAATTGGTTTGAATATTCTCTCTTTAATTACTTGTGCTAAATGACAGTATTAAAGATGGATAGCCGAGAGCACGAGCACTGGAGCCCAGATTATTGGGGAGCCCAGATTATTGGGGAGCTCAGATTATTGTGGAGCCCTGATTTTTGTGGAGCCCAGATTATTGGGGAGCCCAGATTATTGTGGAGCCCAGATTATTGGGGAGCCCAGATTATTGGGGAGCCCAGATTATTGTGGAGCCCAGATTATTGGGGAGCCCTGATTATTGGGGAGCCCAGATTATTGGGGAGCCCTGATTATTGTGGAGCCCAGATTATTGGGGAGCCCAAATTATTGAGGAGGCCAGATTATTGGGGAGCCCAGATTATTGTGGAGCCCAGATTATTGGGGAGCCCAGATTATTGTGGAGCCCAGATTATTGGGGAGCCCAGATTATTGTCACATGTGGCGTATCATGTTAGTCACATGTGGCGTCTCTTGTTAGTCACATGTGGCATCTCTTGTTAGTCACATGTGGCGTCTCTTGTTAGTCACATGTAGCGTATCATGTTAGTCACATGTGGCGTCTCTTGTTAGTCACATGTAGCGTATCATGTTAGTCACATGTGGCGTCTCTTGTTAGTCACATGTGGCGTCTCTTGTTAGTCACATGTGGCGTCTCTTGTTAGTCACATGTGGCGTCTCTTGTTAGTCACATGTGGCGTATCATGTTAGTCACATGTGGCGTCTCTTGTTAGTCACATTTGACGTCTCTTGTTAGTCACATGTGACGTCTCATGTTAGTCACATGTGACGTCTCATGTTAGTCACATGTGGCGTCTCATGTTAGTCACATGTGACGTCTCATGTTAGTCACATGTGACGTCTCATGTTAGTCACATGTGGCGTCTCTTGTTAGTCACATGTGACGTCTCATGTTAGTCACATGTAACGTCTCATGTTAGTCACATGTGGCGTCTCTTGTTAGTCACATGTGACGTCTCATGTTAGTCACATGTAACGTCTCATGTTAGTCACATGTGGCGTCTCTTGTTAGTCACATGTGACGTCTCTTGTTAGTCACATGTGACGTCTCATGTTAGCCACATGTGACGTCTCATGTTAGTCACATGTGGCGTCTCTTGTTAGTCACATGTGACGTCTCTTGTTAGTCACATGTGAGTCTCATGTTAGTCACATGTGACGTCTCATGTTAGTCACATGTGACGTCTCTTGTTAGTCACATGTGACGTCTCATGTTAGTCACATGTGACGTCTCATGTTAGTCACATGTGGCGTCTCATGTTAGTCACATGTGACGTCTCATGTTAGTCACATGTGGCGTCTCTTGTTAGTCACATGTGACGTCTCTTGTTAGTCACATGTGACGTCTCATGTTAGTCACATGTGACGTCTCATGTTAGTCACATGTGGCGTCTCATGTTAGTCACATGTGGCGTCTCTTGTTAGTCACATGTGGCGTCTCATGTTAGTCACATGTGGCGTCTCTTGTTAGTCACATGTGACGTCTCTTGTTAGTCACATGTGGCGTCTCATGTTAGTCACATGTGACGTCTCATGTTAGTCACATGTGACGTCTCATGTTAGTCACATGTGGCGTCTCATGTTAGTCACATGTGACGTCTCATGTTAGTCACATGTGACGACTCGGGCTCGGGCTTCAAGAGCAAGAGATGGCAGTTCAACCACCCACACTACAGATGTTCAGAATAAGGAAAGGTCTGAGAAGTACCTAACTGGTGCTCAACTGAGACTTTAAATATTCCATGGATCACATCTAAGATATCTGGAGGTATATCATCATCTTTATCCTTGTCATGTACGCCATCAGACCTAAATCCTATCAGGTGAATATTACCCATCAGACCGTCTAAATCCCACAATACCATCAGACCATTACAAATCCCACTACAGGCTGTGGTGTAATAGAGGTGTGTCCCTGTCTGGTGATTTATCAACACGAAACATTTACTCAGCCGCGTACGAAAGCTGTACTGTGCTGTACACTGTATTGTGCTTTACACTGTACTGTGTTGTACACTGTACTGTGCACTACACTGTACTGGGTGCGCTCTTTTGTGGAACTGTGACGTTGGCTTCTGTGTTTTAGGCTTAATTGAATAAAATATTCACCAAGTAAAAAAATCGTTTGTTTTATATATATATATATATATATATATATATATATATATATATATATATATATATATATATATATATATATATATATATATATATATATATATATATATATATATATATATATGAAAACTCACACCCCAGAAGTGACTCGAACCCATACTCCCAGGAGCAACGCAACTGGTATGTACAAGACGCCTTAATCCACTTGACCATCACGACCGGACAAAATGAGGTGATAGCCGAGGCTATTTGAACCACCCCACCGCCGGCACTCGGATAGTAATCTTGGGCATAGCATTTTACCAAATCACCTCATTCTTTGGGGCACACGTGAGGAACACGTGTTCCTCACGTGTGCCCCAAACACGTGAGGAAATAGCCTATATCACCTCATTTTGTCCGGTCGTGATGGTCATATATATATATATATATATATATATATATATATATATATATATATATATATATATATATATATATATATATATATATATATATATATATATATATGTCGTACCTAGTAGCCAGAACGCACTTCTCAGCCTACTATGCAAGGCCCGATTTGCCTAATAAGCCAAGTTTTCCTGAATTAATATATTTTCCCTAATTTTTTTCTTATGAAATGATAAAGCTAACCATTTCATTATGTATGAAGTAATTTTTTTTTTTATTGGAGTTAAAATTAACGTAGATATATGACCGAACCTAACCAACCCTACCTAACCTAACCTAACCTATCTTTATAGATTAGGTTAGGTTAGGTACCCAAAAAAGTTAGGTTAGGTTAGGTTAGGTAGGTTAGGTAGTCGAAAAAACATTAATTCATGAAAACTTGGTTTATTAGGCAAATCGGGCCTTGCATAGTAGGCTGAGAAGTGCATTCTGGCTACTAGGTACGACATATATATATATATATATATATATATATATATATATATATATATATATATATATATATATATATATATATATATATATATATATATATATATCTTGCAGGTAGCAGTCTTGTTTTAAACATATTTCATTGAAAACGACAGAAAGTTTTAGATTTATGATTCTGGCGTGAATCTTCTCGATATTCCTTATATTTTTCTTCACTGAAGCAGAAAGATTAAAAATTAACTCCCCAAAGTTCATTTTTACTTATTATTTGGGTCTGGCGCCTAGTGATGTGCTTCGTAAGGTGGCGCCTTACATTCTCAAAGACAAAGTATTATGTCTTAGCACCTGATTATATCCTCTAATGGTGAGATGGTAGGTGACATGGATGAATGACATACATGGGGGATTAATGGGTTTTTAAATTAATGGGGTTTTTGAATTAATGGGGTATTAATCGGTTAGTAAATTAAGAGTGTGACATGTTGGCAGTTTATGTTCTTCTGGTTGCTGCCGTTCTTGTTGACCAAATAGAGAAGCTGGACCTACTACCCCCTCTTTAGTGCCTGGTGTACTCCTTCACTACCCCTCTTTAGTGCCTGGTGTACTCCTTCACTACCCCTCTATAGTGCCTGGTGTACTCCTTCACTACCCCTCTTTAGTGCCTGGTGTACTCCTTTACTACCCCTCTTTAGTGCCTGGTGTACTCCTTCACTACCCCTCTTTAGTGCCTGGTGTACTCCTTCACTACCCCTCTTTAGTGCCTGGTGTACTCCTTCACTACCCCTCTTTAGTGCCTGGTGTACTCCTTCACTACCCCTCTTTAGTGCCTGGTGTACTCCTTCACTACCCCTCTTTAGTGCCTGGTGTACTCCTTCACTACCCCTCTTTAGTGCCTGGTGTACTCCTTTACTACCCCTCTTTAGTGCCTGGTGTACTCCTTCACTACCCCTCTTTAGTCCCTGGTGTACTCCTTCACTACCCCTCTATAGTGCCAAAAGAGTAATGCCTCCGTCTCCCTGCAGTAGTGAAGCACATCGACTCGGAGGAGCTGGTGCTGAAGGGCGTCACCCGGAAGGACATGGGCGCCTACCTCTGCATCGCCACCAACAAGGTTCCGCCCTCCATCAGCAAGAGGATCGTCCTCGACGTTCACTGTAAGTCTAGAGTGTTTACTCGAGCTGTACCTCTAGTGGGCGGTCCTCGACGTTCACTGTAAGTCTAGAGTGTTTACTCGAGCTGTACCTCTAGTGGGCGGTCCTCGACGTTCACTGTAAGTCTAGAGTGTTTACGAGCTGTACCTCTAGTGGGCGGTCCTCGACGTTCACTGTAAGTCTAGAGTGTTTACTCGAGCTGTACCTCTAGTGGGCGGTCCTCGACGTTCACTGTAAGTCTAGAGTGTTTACTCGAGCTGTACCTCTAGTGGGCGGTCCTCGACGTTCACTGTAAGTCTAGAGTGTTTACTCGAGCTGTACCTCTAGTGGGCGGTCCTCGACGTTCACTGTAAGTCTAGAGTGTTTACTCGAGCTGTACCTCTAGTGGGCGGTCCTCGACGTTCACTGTAAGTCTAGAGTGTTTACTCGAGCTGTACCTCTAGTGGGCGGTCCTCGACGTTCACTGTAAGTCTAGAGTGTTTACTCGAGCTGTACCTCTAGTGGGCGGTCCTCGACGTTCACTGTAAGTCTAAAGTGTTTACTCGAGCTGTACCTCTAGTGGGCGGTCCTCGACGTTCACTGTAAGTGTCATATGTACTAGTGTGTGTGACCTCCATATACACACACAGTAATTAAAATTTTAAGAAAAATGTAATACATTTTCCCCCCGCTAACTCTACGCAAGTAACGCAGACCGTAAGAATAATTTAGAATCCCTCTGCGAGGCATTTTCAATATCACACACAAATAACATATTTAATGCGCTCACAGCTCCTGTCACCGCAGTTCAAACCCATATATTCCAGATTGAATCGTCTGTATAACAAATTCGGTGGCAGTTTACCCCGCGTCGAGCGGGACAATCAACCTGGGGTATACATCAACCGCCCCCCTCCACCTCCCCCCCCCTCCCCTCTCCCCCTCCCCTCAAAAAAACTCGATTGAGATTGAGTGTTTTAGGGCGGAAGCTTCAGCTGTTATCTATCGGGCAGGACACATGATCTATTGAACCCCCTCAATCGTTTGTCATGGAGATTGTTATCAATCAGTATTCTTGCGTCAGAATCAATGTTTATTACCCCAGTATGTGTTTGTGTGCGTGCACGTGTGTGTGTTAGAGAGAAATATATGTAGAATACATAATAAGAGGGCAAAATTTATAGGTTAGAAAGGCGGGGTCCAAGAGCTAATAGCTCGAGTGTGCAGGCACAACTAGTCAATACTCCGACACACACACAGGATCCTCCAAGAGGACTTGAACACGTTGCAGTGATGGTCAGACAAAACATATTTCCACATATTTGGTGGAAATATGTTGAGACTGTCTTGGGGGAGCTTGGCTTGTTCTGTAACTAGCCAGGCCTGGTCCATGTGCTCTCGTGAACCGGTCCATGTGCTCTCATGGACCAGGTCACTCACACGTAACTCATATTATGTTATACTTTATGTGTGTGTGTGTGTATGTGTGTGTCCTGAATACACCTTTATTCCGCGTCGTTCCTAAGCCACAAACACATTATATCAACACAAGGAACACCGTTCGTATTAACAGAATCCGACTTGATATCCGCCTTCAGTCTGTACATCGTTCGTGAGACAACGTCAACAACAACATTTCCTGCCGACGCCGCTGCCGGAACCACATTATTGAACCCACAGAAAATGGCGGCAAAAAGCTATCAAAATTCCCATCCAATCACCAGGATGATTAATTCCTAAATGACCAATTAAATTACTTGCGCGTTCCCTATGTGACGACCGTCTGCCGGAAGCTGGCTTGGAGTCCCCAGGACGCCAGGACTCTCGCGTAGCCCACTCAGCTCCAGGGGCACCTGCCACACACCCTAGAGTCACTTATCACACACTTTAGTCAAAAGATTCACTCACCTGACACTCAAGTGTGTGATAATTATGCTTAAGTCAAAAATATTCATCAAACACTTAAGACAGACTAAGAGCTGCACTAACCTCTCAAAGAATGAATGCATTAACCACACTCATGAATGAAATAACCACACTCATGAATGAAATAACCACATTCATAAATGCACTAACCACACTCATGAATGAAATAATCACTCTCATGAATGAAATAACCACACTCATAAATGAAATAATTACTCTCATGAATGAAATAATCACTCTCATGAATGAAATAACCACACTCATGAATGCACTAACCACACTCATGAATGAAATAACCACACTCATGAATGAAATAATCACTCATGAATGAAATAATCACTCATGAATGAAATAATCACTCTCATGAATGAAATAATCACTCTCATGAATGCACTAACCACACTCATAATGACACTTTTCCACCTCCACACTCCACACACTCACGTGGCCCGGGTTCACCTGCTCCCTGTTATAATACTTAATCTACTAGGGTATTGATAGCCGTGGTACTCATTGAAAAAGGTATTGAAAACCCTTATGGAACAAACGCGTATGGGGGATTTTATTGTAGGAGAAAATCGCATATAAGCGTTTGTAGCAGCGTAAGGGTTAATACCTTTTTCAAAGCATATTCGACCGCCATATGTCTAATACATTTGTTTTATTTTCCTTTTGACAGTCCAGCCTCTGATCACGGTACCAAACCAGCTGGTGGGTGCCCCGGTGGGCACCTCCGTGACTCTGGAGTGCCAAGTGGCAGCCTTCCCTAACGCCGTCCACTTCTGGCGCTTCAACGACCAGCTGCTGATCAACTCCTCGCGACAGGAGACGCAGGAGCTGCGCAACGGCTACACCACCACCATGAAGCTCTCCCTCAGGAACCTCCGACACAAGGACTTCGGAACATACGTCTGCGCCGCCAAGAACTCTCTCGGGGCGACGGAGAGCAACGTCAGACTCTATGGTAGGTTGTTAGAGGGTGTTAGTGGTTGTTAGCGGTTGTTAGAGGGTGTTAGTGGTTGCTATCATATCTATTTTTAAAACTATAATAGTGTTTTCTTCCACAATGCACTCTTTTATTTCATTCCATTTCCCCACTACTCTCACACTAAAAGAAAACTTTCTAATATCTTTATGACTCATCAGAGCTTCCAGATTCCACCCATGTTCTGTTTGTATTCAGTGTGAACATTTCGTCTATTTCCTCTCTGACAATTCCTCTAAGTATTTTATATGTTGCTATCACATTCCCCAACTCCCTCATTTTTTCTAGCATCATCAGGTTCAGTTCCTTCAGTCGCTCTTCATATCCCATCCCTCGCAACTCTGGGATGAGCCTCGTCGCAAATTTCTGAACCTTTACCAATTTTCTAATGTCTTTATTCAGGTGGGGGGGTCCATGATGGTGCGGCATACTCTAATGCTGGTGACACCTACGTAGTGGAAAGTGCCCTAAACGCTTCTTTAGTTAGGTTTCTGAATGACTTTCACACTTTTGCTAGCATAGAGTACGCTGCTGTCGTTATCCGATTTATGTGTGTTTCTGGAGTTAGATTTGGTGTTGCGTCCACGCCCAGGTCTCTTTCTCGAATCGTCACAGAAAGATAATTTCCCTTCATTGTGTACTGTCTCTTTGGTCTCCTGTCATCTAGTCCCATTTCCATAACTTTACACTTACTCGTGTTGAACTCCAGTAGCCATTTCTCTAATCATCTCTTCAACCTGCTCAAGTCCTCTTGGAGAATCCTACAATCCGCATCTGTCACAACTCATCTCATTAATTTCGTGTCATCCGTAAACATCGACATATAGGACTCGACTCCTGTAGACGAGTCGTTCACGTATATTAGAAATAGAACTGGTCCCAGCACCGATCCTTGAGGTACTCCACTCGCTACTGTTCCCCAGTCCGACTTCTCACCCCTTACTGTTACTCTCTGGCTCCTGCCTGCTAAGTAATTCATTACAAGCTCCAAGGTTGGTTACTACTTATTGATATAGTACTCCATGTTACAATGTTTTAATTCTTTTATATAGTCATTATATGTGTGTATGTTCTCACCTAATTGTACTCACCTAATTGTGCGCGTGGGGGTTGAGCTCTGGCTCTTTGGTCCCGTCTCTCAACTGCCAATCAACTGATGTACGTATTCCTGAGCCTATAGGGCTCTATCATACCTACATTTGAAACTGTATATGGAGTCAGCCTCCACCACATCACTGCCTAATGCATTCCATCTGTTAACTACTCTGACACTGAAAAAGTTCTTTCTAATGTCCCTGTGGCTCATTTGGGTACTCAGTTTCCACCTGTGTCCCCTTGTTCGCGTACCACCCGTGTTAAACAGTTTATCTTTATCTACCCTGTCAATTCCTCTGAGAATTTTGTAGGTAGTGATCATGTCTCCCCTTACTCTTCTGTCTTCTAGTGTCTTGAGGTGCATTTTTTGCAGCCTTTCCTCGTAACTCATGCCTCTTATTTCTGGGACTAGCATAATGGCATATATCTGAACTTTTTCAAGCTTCGCCTTGTGCTTGACAAGGTAAGTGTGTGTGTGTGTGTGTGTGTGTGTGTGTGTGTGTGTGTGTGTGTGTGTGTGTGTGTGTGTGTGTGTGTGTGTGTGTGTGTGTGTGCGCGCCTGTGTGTGTGCGTGTGTGCGCGCCTGTGTGTGTGTGTGTGTGTGTGTGTGTGTGTGTGTGTGTGTGTGTGTGTGTGTGTGTGTGTGTGTGTGTGTGTGTGTGTGTGTGTGTGTGTGTGTGTGTGTGTGTGTGTGTGTGTGTGTGTGTGTGTGTGTGTGTGTGTGTGTGTGTGTGTGTGTGTGTGTGTGTGAGGGGGTGTGTGTGTGTGTGTGCGTGCGCGCCTGTGTGTGTGTGTGTGTGTGTGTTGTGTGTGTGTGTGTGTGTGTGTGTGTGTGTGTGTGTGTGTGTGTGTGTGTGTGTGTGTGTGTGTGGTGTGTGTGTGTGTGTGTGTGTGTGTGTGTGTGTGTGTGTGTGCGCGCGTGCGTGCGCGCCTGTGTGTGTACCTTCATCAGTGTAAACTTTATTTTTTTACAAATCAAGTCACATAAATGCCAAACAAAAAACAAATATGTACCAAATAAAACGAACAGCAGTTACTTGGATCTCTCTCTCTCTCCCTCCCTCTCTCTCTCTCTCTCTCTCCCCTCCCTCTCTCTCCCTTCCTTACTCTTCCTCCCTCTCTCTCTCTCCCCTCCCTCTCCCTCCCTCTCTCTCCCTCCCTCTCTCTCCCTCCCTCTCTCTCCCTCCCCTCTCTCTCCCTTCCTCTCACCCTTCCTCTCTCTCCCTTCCTCTCACCCTTCCTCTCTCTCTCTCCCTCCCTCTCTCTCCCTCCCCTCTCTCTCCCTCCCTCTCTCCCTTCCTCTCTCTCCCTTCCTTACTCTTCCTCCCTCTCTCTCCCTCCCTCTCTCTCCCTCCCTCTCTCTCCCTTCCTCACTCTCCCTCCCTCTCTCTCCCTCCCTCTCTCCCCCTCCCTCTCTCCCTCTCTCTCTATCACTCTCCCCTCTCACTTAATCTCTCACTCTCTCTTTGGCTCTCTTTATTCGTAAGTGTCTTAGTAAATATTGAGTGAAGTATGGCGTCGATCACAGCGCCTCCCTCCACCACACGCAGTGATCACAGCGCCTCCCTCCACCACACGCAGTGATCACAGCGCCTCCCTCCACCACACGCAATGATCACAGTGCCTCCCTCCACCACACACAGTGATCACAGCGCCTCCCTCCACCACACACAGTGATCACAGCGCCTCCCTCCACCACACACAGTGACCACAGCGCCTCCCTCCACCACACACAGTGACCACAGCGCCTCCCTCCACCACACGCAGTGATCACAGCGCCTCCCTCCACCACACACAGTGACCACAGCGCCTCCCACCACCACACACAGTGACCACAGCGCCTCCCTCCACCACACACAGTGATCACAGCGCCTCCCACCACCACACGCAGTGACCACAGCGCCTCCCTCCACCACACACAGTGATCACAGCGCCTCCCTCCACCACACAGAGTGACCACAGCGCCTCCCTCCACCACACACAGTGATCACAGCGCCTCCCTCCACCACACACAGTGACCACAGCGCCTCCTCCACCACACACAGTGACCACAGCGCCTCCCACCACCACACACAGTGACCACAGCGCCTCCCACCACCACACACAGTGATCACAGCGCCTCCCTCCACCACACACAGTGATCACAGTGCCTCCCACCAACACACACAGTGACCACAGCGCCTCCCACCACCACACACAGTGACCACAGCGCCTCCCACCACCACACACAGTGACCACAGCGCCTCCCTCCACCACACACAGTGATCACAGCGCCTCCCACCACCACACACAGTGACCACTGCGCCTCCCACCACCACACACAGTGACCACAGCGCCTCCCTCCACCACACACAGTGATCACAGCGCCTCCCTCCACCAAACACAGTGATCACAGCGCCTCCCACTACCAAACACAGTGATCACAGCGCCTCCCTCCACCACACGTAGCTGCTGCCAGTTTACCTGCCTCACAGTACCTGTTTACCTGCCTCACAGTACCTGTTTACCTGCCTCACAGTGTCTGTTTACCTGCCTCACAGTACCTGTTTACCTGCCTCACAGTGTCTGTTTACCTGCCTCACAGTACCTGTTTACCTGCCTCACAGTACCTGTTTACCTGCCTCACAGTACCTGTTTACCTGCCTCACAGTACCTGTTTACCTGCCTCACAATACCTGTTTACCTGCCTCACAGTACCTGTTTACCTGCCTCACAGTACCTGTTTACCTGCCTCACAGTACCAGTTTACCTGCCTCACAGTTCCAGTTTACCTGCCTCACAGTACCTGTTTACCTGCCTCACAGTTCCAGTTTACCTGCCTCACAGTACCTGTTTACCTGCCTCACAGTACCTGTTTGCCTGCCTAATAGTACCAGTTTACCTGCCTCAGTACCAGTTTACCTGCCTCACAGTACCTGTTTACTTGCCTCACAGTTCCAGTTTACCTGCCTCACAGTACCTGTTTACCTGCCTAACAGTACCAGTTTACCTGCCTCACAGTACCTGTTTACCTACCTCACAGTACCTGTTTACCTGCCTCACAGTACCAGTTTACCTGCCTCACAGTACCAGTTTACCTGCCTCACAGTTCCAGTTTACCTGCCTCACAGTTCCAGTTTACCTGCCTCACAGTACCTGTTTACCTGCCTCACAGTACCAGTTTACCTGCCTCACAGTTCCAGTTTACCTGCCTCACAGTACCTGTTTACCTGCCTCACAGTTCCAGTTTACCTGCCTCACAGTACCTGTTTACCTGCCTAACAGTACCAGTTTACCTGCCTCACAGTACCTGTTTACCTACCTCACAGTACCTGTTTACCTGCCTCACAGTACCAGTTTACCTGCCTCACAGTACCAGTTTACCTGCCTCACAGTACCTGTTTACCTGCCTCACAGTACCTGTTTACCTGCCTCACAGTACCTGTTTACCTGCCTCACAGTACCAGTTTACCTGCCTCACAGTTCCAGTTTACGTGCCTCACAGTACCACTTTACCTGACTCACAGTACCATTTTACCTGCCTCGCAGTTCCAGTTTACCTGCCTCACAGTACCACTTTACCTGACTCACAGTACCATTTTACCTGCCTCACAGTACCAGTTTACCTGCCTCACAGTACCAGTTTACCTGCCTCACAGTTCCAGTTTACCTGCCTCACAGTACCATTTTACCTGCCTCACAGTTCCAGTTTACCTGCCTCACACTACCAGTTTACCTGCCTCACAGTTCCAGTTTACCTGCCTCACAGTACCAGTTTACCTGCCTCACAGTACCAGTTTACCTGCCTCACAGTTCCAGTTTACCTGCCTCACAGTACCAGTTTACCTGCCTCACAGTTCCAGTTTACCTGCCTCACACTACCAGTTTACCTGCCTCACAGTTCCAGTTTACCTGCCTCACAGTACCAGTTTACCTGCCTCACAGTACCAGTTTACCTGCCTCACTGTACCAGTTTACCTGCCTCACTATACCAGTTTACCTGCCTCACTGCCTGACAGTAAGAGAGCCTGGTGGGCAAAGTGGGCCGCTGCGACCCGTGGCCCACTTAACCCAAGAGTCTCTGGGTGAAGTACTGAGGGCACCGGGAGTGTGGTGATGGTAGTGGTGAAGTGCACACGGGGGCCACCGTGTGTGTGTGTGTGTGTGTGCTCGTCTAGTTGTGCTTACGGGGGTTGGGCTTTGGCTCTTTGGTCCCGCCTCTCAACTGTCAATCAACTGGTGTACAGATTCCTGAGCCTACTGGGCTCTATCATATCTACATTTGAAACTGTGTATGGAGTCAGCCTCCACCACATCACTGCCTAATGCATTCCACCTGTTAACTTCTCTGACACTGAAAGAGTTTTTTCTAACGTCCCTGTGGCTCATTTGGGTACTCAGTTTCCACCCGTGTTAAACAAAAAATCTTTATCTACCCTATCGATTCCTCTTAGGATTTTGTAGGTAATGATCACATCTCCCCGAGCTCTCCTATCTTCAAGCGACGTTAGGTTCATTTCATGCAGCCTTTCCTCGTAACTCATGCCTCTTACTTCTAGGACTAGCGTAGTGGCATACCTTTGAACTTTTTCCAGCATAGTCCTGTGCTTGACAAGTTACGGGCTCTAGGCTGGGGCCGCATACTCCAGGATTGGTCTTACATATGTGGTATACAAGGTTCTGAAGGTTTCCTTACACAGGTTCCTGAAGGCTGTTCTGACGTTGGCCAACCTCGCATTCGCCGCCGATGTTATTCGTTTTATGCGGGCTTAAGGAGACAGGTTTGGTGTGATATCAACTCCTAGATCTCTCTCTCTCTGTCCGTTTCATGGAGGACTTCCTCTCCCATTCGGTATCCTGTTTCTGGCCTCCTGTTTCCACTGCCAAGTTTCATTACCTTACATTTGCTCGGGTTGAACTGTAGTAGCCATTTGTTGGACCATTCATTCAGTTTGTCTAGATCATCTTGTAGTCTCATACTGACTTAATCCTCCTCATAATTTTTGCATCATCAGCAATCATTGAGAGGAACGAGTCTATTCACTCTAGGAGATCATTTACATATATCAGAAACAGTATAGGTCCAAGGATTGAACCCTACGGAACTCCACTGGTGACGCCTCGCCACTCCGAGACCTCACCCCTCACAGTGACTCGCTGTTCTATGTTGCTTAGGTACTCCCTTATCCAGTGGAGTTCCTTCCCTTTCACTCCTGCCTGCATCTCCAGCTTTTGAACTAGTCTCTTGTGTGGTACTGTATCAAAGGCTTTCTGGCAATCCAAAAATATGCAGCCTGCCCACCCCTCTCTTTCTTGCCTGATTTTTGTTGCCTGGTCGTAGAATTCAATTAATCCTGTGAGGCAGGACTTGCCATCCCTGAACCCATGCTGATTGTGTGAGTGTGTGTGTGTGTGTGTACTCACCTAATTGTGCTTGCGGGGGTTGAGCTTTGGCTCTTTGGTGTGTGTGTGTGTGTGTGTGTGTGTGGTGTGTGTGTGTGTGGGTGTGTGTGTGTGTGTGTGGTGTGTGTGTGTGTGTGTGTGTGTGTGTGTGTGTGTGTGTGTGTGTGTGTGTGTGTGTGTGTGTGTGTGTGTATTCACCTAGTAGCATTTATCTGGTTGTGCTTGCGGGGGGTTGAGTTCTGCCCTTTCGTCTCGCCTCTCAACTGTCAATCAGTCAACTATTACTAACTAATTTTTTCCACACACACACACACACACACAAACACCCAGGAAGCAGCCCGTAACAGCTGCTTAACACCCAGGTACCTATTTACTGCTATGTAACAGGCGTATCAGGGTGAAAGAAACTGCCCATTTTGTTTCTCGCAGGCGCCGGGAATCGAACCCCGGACCACAGGATTACGTGTCTAGCATACTGTCCACTCACCCACCAGTACCACCTGTGTGTGTGAAGATGATCCTCACGAATTGCTGATTTTAGGGGAATTCCAAAGCCAGCTGGGACCCCAGTACCAGCCAGGGACCCCGGTACCAGCCTGGGACCCCGGTACCAGCCTGGGACCCCGGTACTAGCCTGGGACCCCAGTACCAGCCTGGGACCCCGGTACCAGCCTGGGACCCCGGTACCAGCCTGGGACCCCGGTACCAGCCTGGGACCCCGGTACCAGCCTGGGACCCCGGTACCAGCCTGGGACCCCAGTACCAGCCTGGGACCCCAGTACCAGCCTGGGACCCCGGTACCAGCCTGGGACCCCAGTACCAGCCTGGGACCCCAGTACCAGCCTGGGACCCCAGTACCAGCCTGGGACCCCAGTACCAGCCTGGGACCCCAGTACCAGCCTGGGACCCCAGTACCAGCCTGGGACCCCAGTACCAGCCTGGGACCCCGGTACCAGCCTGGGACCCCGGGACCCCCGGTACCAGCCTGTACCAGCCTGGGACCCCGGCCTGGACCCCGGTACCCCTGACCCCGGTACCAGCCTGGGACCCCAGTACCAGCCTGGGACCCCAGTACCAGCCTGGGACCCCAGTACCAGCCTGGGACCCCGGTACCCCAGCCTGGGACCCCGGTACCAGCCTGGGACCCCAGTACCAGCCTGGGACCCCAGTACCCTGGGACCCCAGCCAGCCTGGGACTGGGACCCCAGTACCAGCCTGGGACCCCAGTACCAGCCTGGGACCCCAGTACCAGCCTGGGACCCCGGTGCCAGCCTGGGACCCCGGTACCAGCCTGGGACACAACAATCAAGTATTGTTCTACCTTCTTATATGTCAAAAACTAATCCAGTTTATTTTTGTCAGCAGAGATCGTGGTGAATCGCGGCTCTGAGGAGAAGCCAGAGGACTCCAGTATGGGAAACTCAGGTGAGTACTCCCCTAGTTGTGCTGTCGGGGGGTTGAGCTTCGGCTCTTTGGTCCCGCCTCTCAACTGTCAGTCAACTGGTGTACAGATTCCTGAGCCTACTGGGCTCTATCATATCTACATTTGAAACTGTGTATGGAGTCAGCCTCCACCACAACACTGCCTAATGTTATGCCATTTGTTAACTACTCTGACACTGAACAAATTCTGTCTAATGTCTCTGTAGCTCATTTGGGTACTAAGTTTCCACATGTGTCCCCTTGTTCGTGTTCCACCCGTGCTAAAGCGCTTATCTTTGTCCACCCTGTTAGTTCCTCTAAGAATTGTGTAGGTGGTGATCATGTCTTCCCTATCTCTTCTGTCTTCCATATTTGAAACTGTGTGTGGAGTCCACCTCATCACTGCTTCCACCACATCACTGCCTAATGCATTCCATCTGATAACTACTCTGACACTGAAAAAGTTATTTCTAACGTCCCTGTGGCTCATTTGGGTACTCAGTTTCCACCTGTGTCCCCTTGTTCGCATTCCACCCATGTTAAACAGCTTATCTTTATCTACCCTGTCAATTCCTCTGATAATTTTGTAAGTAGTGATCATGTCTCTCCGATCTCTCCTGTCTTCCAGCGATGTGAGGTTCATTTCACTCAGCCTTTCCTCGTAACTCATGCTTCTTAGTTCCGGGACTAGCCTAGTGGCATACCTCTGAACTTTTTCCAGCTCCGTCTTGTGCTTGGTGGGTTGAGCTCCTTTCTATGCGGGTGTTTAGGAAGTGGTGGTTGTTTGAGAGTATTATGTCTGGTTTACCAGCGTGACCTTGTCTGTCATATGTTGGGAAGTCTGGGCCCAGATGGGTTAGATTTAGGTTCCTTATCGTACTGTTGATAGCTTCTACTACCTTGATGTTCCTTCCGTTTTCCATGGTTGTGTTTGGCGTTCAGATCTTGCAGAAAGTAGGCAGGTCTGTTCCTTTTGGTGAGTTTCATGATGTCGGCCAGGGGAAGGTAAGGTCGTCTTGGTGGTTGGTAACACGTTCCTGTGAAGATTTCGTAGTTTGGAGTTCAATTGCCTGGAAGTTTTCTTGAAAGTTTTCTAGAATTATGTTTGGAATATTTCTCCTTACAGCAATTGCTGCTCCATCGTTGGCCTGGTCAGCTCTGTTGGCCTGATAAGTTTTGTAGTTGAAGATCTTTATCTTCTCACTTTCCTTTTTCTCATGGCTGTTAATGAGAATTATACCTGGGTCTATTTCTCTGTACAAGTTGCTGAGTTCCAATACTCTGTGTGGAGTCCAGCTTAGAACATTGTGTTGAATTATTGTTAATGACTGGATGGCTATGTTGAAACTGATGGGTCTCTTCTACATCGTGGATTGTTTGGAATAGTTGCGTAACCGTTGCACATTGTGTTACACTTAATGCTGTTTATCTGCTGAATGGTTTTGGGAGCTTGATTGAAAGCATGCGACATTATGTATTCGTAGACCTCACTCATATTAGCACCTGTAATGTCGTATTTTTAGTTTTATTTGCTGAGTTTGTATACGCTCTTGGAGGGTCTTGCAGTTAACCCATGTGGATTTTGTTTGATGAGAAGAATTCGATCTTGAATGGAATTACTTCCGAGTCTTTGGTGTGTGTGTCTGAGTCTGCAGCATTGTCTGTGGGTATGTGGTAAGCATTGATGCCCACTGTGTGTACCTGGTCTGCCTCAGTTACCTCATCGGTATTCTCTATTTGTTGTGTCTCCTGTGGTGCTTGTATGTTTGTGGGTCCCCTTTGGGGGGTCATTAGTGGTGGTTGCTTGTGTTGTTTCAACTTGCTCTGACTCAGTGAGGGTTTCTGCCTTTGTGGGTACTAGTACATGTTGGGAGTTGGTACCAGTTAAGGGAGTGCTATTGCTGACCACCAGGGCTTTTATGATGTTAAGGGAGGGAACATTGTCTGGGAAGTCCATTTCGGGGAGACCATACTTCCTGTACGTTTCTGTAACCCCGGATCCGAATGATCCTGGCTTTGTTAGGTTGTCTAGGTGGGCATAGATCATACTGCTCAGAATTTGTGTTGGTAGGTCACCCTTTACCTGTACTGTAGTGTTTGCTGGATTGTGTGATGCCTTATATGTCCACGTATTTGTGGCAGTGATCCCTGCATAAGTATTGTTGGCCATTGCTGTCTTTTTTGTTGCAGCTTCATCCACTTTTTTGTTTTAGGATAGTCTTCCTTGTGGGAGAGATTGATGCCAGTGTGCAATGAGGACCCCCAACAATTGAGATATTTTGGAGTTTGTTTTATCTGTCAAGTTCCTGAAAATGTGTCCCTGCTGGCCACATTCAGAACATACTTTGATATTCCTATGTTGGCAGTCTGCGGCTGTGTGGCTGTACTTGTAACATGTCCAACATGAGGCTATGATGAAGTATTATTCTTGTTCTATGTTGTTGGCTATGCTCAGGTGGTAGTAGTTGCAGTGGATACCTAGGCTGAGGGCTTTTTGTGCCATGGAGATTTCTTCAAACCCTCGCATGTATTGTTGATGCGCTTATACGCTGCCTCCACACTCTTCCTGCCCGTCCTGCCCGTCCTGCCCGTCCTGCCCGTCCTGCCCGTCCTGCCCGTCCTGCCCGTCCTGCCCGTCCTCCCGACCTGCCCGTCCTGCCCGTCCTGCCCGTCCTGCCCGACCTGCCCGTCCTGCCCGTCCTGTCCAGCCTCCTCCTCCTCCCCACACCCCCACCACAGTTGACAAACCATCCAATAATGATGAAAGGCTCGACAATGATCACAGCCTCCCATTGGGGCCGCAAGTTGACGATCCAATTAAAATGAATTTGTTTTGTATTTTGATATGCTGTATAAAGGGCTGCCTCAGTTAATTGTTAGACTAATCCTAGCACAGGTGGGGGCGCTACCTCTCCTGGGGCCAGGTAAGGGGGGGGAGAGTCGATCAATCATTAATGTCACCCAACGCCTCCCTCACTCCCCCACCTTACCTCCCCCTTCACCCACCTTACCTCCCTCCCCCTCACCCTCCTTACCTCCCCCCTCACCCACCTTCCCTCCCCCCCTCACCCACCTTACCTCCCCCTCACCCACCTTACCTCCCCCCTCACCCACCTTACCTCCCCCCTCACCCACCTTCCCTCCCCCCTCACCCACCTTCCCTCCCCCCCCTCACCCACCTTACCTCCCCCCCTCACCCACCTTACCTCCCCCCTCACCCACCTTCCCTCCCCCCTCACCCACCTTACCTCCCCCCCCCTCACCCACCTTACCTCCCCCCTCACCCACCTTACCTCCCCCCTTCACCTCTTCTCCACACAGGAGGCAGGGACCAGGAGCTCACTAAACTCTTCTCCACACAGGAGGCAGGGACCAGGAGCTAACTAAACTCTTCTCCACACAGGAGGCAGGGACCAGGAGCTAACTAGACTCTTCTCCACACAGGAGGCAGGGACCAGGAGCTCACTAAACTCTTCTCCACACAGGAGGCAGGGACCAGGAGCTCACTAAACTCTTCTCCACACAGGAGGCAGGGACCAGGAGCTAACTAGACTCTTCTCCACACAGGAGGCAGGGACCAGGAGCTCACTAAACTCTTCTCCACACAGGAGGCAGGGACCAGGAGCTAACTAGACTCTTCTCCACACAGGTCTCAGGCCTCAGCAGCGTAACGAGGACCGTCCTAAAGACCCGTGGCCCTCAGCAGGTGAGTCAGGCACTAGCATTTTACGCGCAGCAGGTGAGTAGAGAGTGAGAGATAAACACATTATGAATGTGTGTGTGAGGCACATCTCGTGTGCCAGGTAAGTACGACGGGTTCACCATAGCCAGTGCTGCTTGGAACTTCTTGTTCCCAGTAGCTGAATCTAAAACAACAAACAACATTATGAATGTGTAGACAAACTATTTTTTCTTTCCTTAAACTCTACTAAATCTCTACTAATCTACCTAGTAGATAAGCCTATATGCATGTTATAACTTTTCCTGAATTAATATATATATAAATATATATTTCATTATATAGGTAATAGTTATATATATATATATACCTAACCTATATCTCTATATAGGTTGGGTTATGT